CTGAATAAAGTGGTTCTCAGTTCCTTCTCATTATCGAAAGATATTCACTCTTCTACATTTATTTAAAATATTTGACTGTTCTTTCTGCTTTTTTGCCTTGAGAGCTTGTTTGCCTTTTCAGCTCAGCTAATGATCAAGCTAATGTTAATAACAGTAAAGATTAACAGCCATTGAATGCTTATTGTGTTCCAGATGCTTTTATAAGTGCTTTCCATGTATTGACTCATAATTCCATGTCAGCCCTATGAAATGGGTATTATTATCCTCTTTTTATAAAGAAAGTAGGTCATAGGGAAGATATATGGCCTTGTGCACAGCTAGTGAGTGAGTGCACCACCATCCAGCCTGTTACCCAAGGCAGAAGTCTTGTATTTTCCTTGAGTGTCCTTTTCACTTACTACCCAGGTGTTACCAGATTGTCCCTACCGTGTGTGCTGTGTTTTTCTTCCAAATGAGTATCTCCCTAGGTATTGAATAGCTCATTCTTTATTCTTCTTGCTTTGGAGGGAATTTTTGTGTCTTCTAATCCATTTTAACTCTTAAATTGCTTTTCATGCCACTAATAAAATATTTGGATGAAATATATGACTATATATTACGTCTTTTTTGAGGAAATTTGAAATGGTTACTGTATAGAGCCATATATTTTTAACAAGCTTGATAGTGAATATTATTTTCTCTTTTCCCTATAGCCCTTGAAGAAAGCTGTTAGAATGATGGGTGCGCCTAACTTGATAGCAGACAGTATGGAGTATGGACTCAGTTACAGTGTCATTTCATACCTCAAAAAATTGAGTCAGCAGGTAAAGTCAGAAAGTGATGTGAACATTAAGGTATTGGCTATAGTGAAAATGGTTAATTGGCTACAGGCCAGTTTATGATGGTTCTTTTCTTTTTCTTTATTTCTGTAGTACACAGATAAACTCAGGGTTTTACACTTGATAGGCAAGCACTTTTTCCACTAAGCTAACACCCTTGCTTTCATTTTGAGACACGTTCTCACTAAGTTATCCATGTCAGACTTGAATTTGGCAGTCATCCTGCCTCAGCCTCCTGAGTGACTGGGATTACAGGTGTGCCACCACACCTCATGACAGACTTAGAAGTGAGTTATTGTAACTTCCAAACTTTTATGATTTCTCATTTATGAACATGGCCTAACTTTCTGTGATTATTACTTGTGTTTTCTTTTGAGAAATTTATATTAGAGAGTTGTTTTCCATAAGAAAAAAAAAACCCCACCAGTTTGTTTTGCTTTGTGTTTTAAAACCTTTGGACTTTTCTTTCAAAATGGAAGGGTTTTTTTTTTTTTTTTAATTTGTTCGTATGGCCCTAAGCCATGTTAATAGCTACTTCGATTATCAAGCAGTGTACAGTTTACTCCCATCCCAATTATGAATGTCTTATACAATACATTATTTTTCTAGTACTTTTATCATCTTTGTCTGCAGTTTGGAGGGAATCAGAAGAAGACTGTTTAGTTTCCATGAAAAAGTGGCATCAGTATTTGCCATGTCGGTGAATGTGTATAGTATGTCCTAATAACAGTCTTTAGGCATAGGCTGATGAGATTTGCTTTTTAATTTCCTGTCACCTCTGAATTGGAAATACATTTTCTTTTATGGACCATTGATATTTCATGGTGTATGTATAATGTGTGTTAATACATAAAATAAATTGGTTTGTCCTGCTACAGAAGTTTAGAGTTGTAATGATTTCAGTGTAAGACATTATTGTTTAAGCTTCATTAGTTTACCTAGTTGTACTTGGCATAAACTATGCTTATTTGAGGTTTTAATTTTTTATTCAATAAATATTTATAGAAGAGTATAATCACTAATACCTGATTTGCAAACTTAGATTATATCAAAGCACTTGCTTGATTTGTTTTTTTGTTTTTTTTTTTTTTTAAGGCCAAAATTGAATCTGATAGAGTCATCGGATCGGTAGGCAAAAAAGTAGCACAGGAGACTGGAATTAAAGTCCGAAGCCGATCACATGGTTTATCAATGGCATATAGGAAAGATTTTCAACAGTTGCTCCAGGGAATTTCAGATGATATCCCTCACAGACTGCTAGACCTTAATATGAAGGAATATACTGGGTTCCAAGTTGCTTTGCTAAATAAGGTAATAGTCAATTTAATACTAGTTATGTTCTGTTCTGATACCAAATAAATAAGTCGAGTTTCTATTAAGTAACATTCAGTTTTCTAGGCTTCAAAACATACTTCTGTATCACTGCAGAAGGATGTTTTTCATGCTGTCATTGAAATAAAAACAAAAATTGTACATGGTGTGTGAATGAATGGGTGGGTTGATTAATAACAATAAGCTTACTTGTTTTATAGATGAGAAAGCAGAGGCTTACAGATTGTCCAAAATTACATAGCTGATGTTAGAATTTACTTATAGTGATGATCTCAAAATGCTTTATGAATACTCATTATTAAAACTATTTTCATTCCAGCAACCTTTTTGTAGACAATAGGCAGCTGATTCTGAAATTTACATGAAAATGTAGAGGTTCTGGAATAGCTACAACAAACCTGAAAAAAAGAGTAAAGTTGAGAACTGAAACCATGTGATTTTAGAGCTGAAGAGCTACAGTAGTCACAGTAGTGGTGATGCGTGGTTACATGGATGAGTAGAGCAGAAGTAAATCTCACACAGTACTTTAACAGGTACTAAAGTCATCAAGATGTTGAAAAGTCTTCAAGGATGGTGAACACTAGGATGTCCATATACAGAGTAATGAACTTGGCTATTCCCTTACATTATTTGAAATGATTGTGGTTATAAATATAAGAAGAAACTCTTATGCTGATAAGAAAAAAAGCAGTAATCTTCATGATGTTAAGCTAATGAAAATTTTTATAGTACAACACAAAAGGCACAAATTCAAAAATATTTGACATTGAGTTTGATCCCCAGTAATATGAAAAAATAAAAAAACAAAAGAGAAACATATATCTAATAAAGGACTGTTATCCAACTAGATGATACAGACAACTCAGTAACAAAAAGATAAATATACCAACAAAAATAGGCAAAATGCCATAACTGAAGAGACACTTCATCAAAGGAGGTGCACAAACAGCACATGAAGAGATGTAAAACCTAATTAGCCATTACAGGAATGCAAATTAAACTATAATAAGACACCATTTCACACCTGTTAGAGTGACTGAAAGTTTAAAGACTGAGAAGTATCAAGTATTGGTAGGGATGTACAGGAATTGGAACTCTTATTTAATTGCTGAAGGGGTAATAGTTTGTGGTTTAAAAGGTTTGTGTGTGTGTGCACACATGTGCACAATCAGCGATTGTGTCTGTAGGTGCCAAGGCTCATGAAAATACATGTCCATATAAAGACTTTGTACAAATGTTCATAGCCATGTTATATGGCCAAAAAACATCTGTGTGGTAAATAAAGATGTCGTCTTTTCAGAAAGTGAAATATGACTGAAATAAAGGAACCTACTAGCTAACTAAACAAACCAGTTATAAAAGCTTAGACATTGGAAGATTTCCATGTATAAAATGAAATACAGCTAGACAAAAGCTGATGGGTAGTTGCTTGGGGATAGAAATACAGACTGGTGACAGATAAGTATAGGAAGTTTTCTAGGATGGTAAAAATGCTCTAAAACTGGGTTGTACATTTGAAGAGTTCTCAAATTACATACTTACTATATATACCTAATTTTATACCATGTAAATTATACATCAAAGCCATTCTTTAAAACTCTTCCATGTTTAAATCAGGGAAAATTTTTACTCAAATAATGTACTTCTCTTACTTAGAACGTATTTTTAAAATCTTTAAAGTTAGATGTGAACTTGAAATTATTTTGTTGAGTTTACCACACAGGTTCTATCTTTTGACCCTAAAACAATTTAGGATTTTTATCATAGGTCTTTTTCCTTCTTCCAAAACTAGCTAGTTAGCTTACATATTGTATATTTTCTGGAATATGCTGCAAGCTAAAAGATTTTAGTACCTTTTAATTTTGTTTAGAAATCTTTTGTCCTTGAATGTGTTTATGTAGGATTTGAAGCCTCAGACATTTAGAAATGCTTATGACATACCAAGACGGAATCTTTTGGATCATTTAACAAGAATGAGATCTAATCTTTTAAAGAGCACCCGAAAATTTCTTAAAGGACAGGATGAAGGTTAGAGTATGATTCTTAAATTTCTTTATAATCTGAAAAAGCATAATATAAATTTTAAGGTATTATATACTCATTGTTAATTCAAACAAAACGTGAATCATCATTTATTTTCTACCATCACTGTTAACCACAAATCCTGTTCCCAGAGATAACAGCATTTATTAACAATTTATTTCATTTTTAGCCTTCCCCATTCATACCTTCAGTACACATAGTCCCATACAGTCTTTTTCTTCTGCTGTGTTAGAACCTGATAGTTTAGCTCTGATACTCCCTTACTATACCTGTGGCATCTGCTAAAGTCACATGAGATGAGGAGTTAGCCTTTGCCTTGTGACATAAGTATTCTTACTACAAGTTTATATTTACGTGACATTTCTACTCTTATTCTTTTGTACAAATTCTGTAATTAAATTGTATTTGGAATAAAATAAAAGAAATAGACCTTTTGTGGCAAGATTGTACATATCGCTTATTGTATATGCTGAAATTAAGTGCAGTATTTTTGTTTAGTTTAAAGGCTAGAATTAGTAATTTTACTTTTAAAGATCTAAAGACTGTCACAATATTTATCATTGCACCAGACTAACTTCAGATATGTAAAAGACTGATAATACTAGGTTGTACTCATATTGACTCTAAATGGAGTGTCACTTTAGTGAGGTTATTAACTTTTGTTGTTGGTATATTCTCTCTGAAAAGATCAAGTGCACAGTGTTCCTATAGCACAAATGGGGAATTATCAGGAATACCTCAAGCAAGTACCTTCTCCACTGAGAGAACTTGATCCTGATCAGCCTCGAAGGTTGCATACTTTTGGCAATCCTTTTAAGCTTGATAAAAAGGTAATACTGAAATTTTCTGTTACATAATTTGTTTGTGGTAAGCATTGTCAGTTTAACAGTTCCTGATTTAGCTAAAGTAAGCTGAAGTTACTTTCTTAGTAGAGTATCTAGTAAGTGTCAACATTGTTTTAAAGTATAATTGTTTTAAGTAGAAATGAGATTAGTTGTACCATTGAAAAATCGTATGGAGGGACTAGGGAGATGGCTTGGTAGGTAAATATTCACTGCTGTGCAAGTATAAGAACCTGAGTTTGAATCCCTTGAACCCATGTAAAAGTCAGACACAGTAGTGCTCATCTGTAACCCAGCACTCCTAGCTAGTCAGGAGTTGGAGTAAGGAGAATTGCAAGAGCTAGTAGACCAGCTAGCCTGGTGTATACTGCACTGACAAGAGACTCTGTCTCAAACAAAGTAGAAAGTGAGGATGGACACTGTACGTTGTCCTCTGATTGCCACATGTGCCCTGTGGCACTCTCACATTCACATGAATGCACACACACATACATTGTATGGAAAGTCAAGAAATGGTATCCTTTTTTGGGTATAGAGTACAAAGGTGGATACCACAGAGGCTATGAGGAGAATGGTGAACAAGGGGAAAATGATGATTAAGTCTTGGGTTGAGAAATTAGTTTTAGTGAGAGTTTATATACACTATGTGCATGTGGAGGCCAGGAGAGGGTATCAGTTGGATCCCCTAGAACTAGAGTTGTGAGCCACCACAAGGGTGCAGTGAAGTGAGCCAAGGTCTTCTACAAGAGTAGCAAGTGATCTTAAGTGCTGAGCCATTCTCTAGCCCCAATTAAATCTTTAAAAAAAATGTATTTATTATTAGTGGATGTACATGTGCATGTATACATATGCCAAGGTACATGTGAGGAGGTCATAGGACAACTTTTGTAGAGTTGTTTCTCTCTTCCACTGGGGATCTAACCTAGGTCACCAGGCTTGCAAAGCAAGTAAGTACCTTTATTTGCTGAGCCACTGTGTCAGACCTTGATTAAATCTTTCTACATTGTAATGCATAGATCAACCTATCACATTGTATGCTATAAATATGAAGTTATTTGTCACTTAAAATAATTGACAAACATTAAATTTTTGAAATGTAAATCCAAGGCAAATTATATATGTATGTGTGTTTTTCAATAGGGTATGATGATAGATGAAGCAGATGAATTTGTGGCTGGACCTCAAAATAAGCATAAACGACCTGGAGAACCAAATATGCAAGGAATCCCAAAAAGACGCCGGTGTATGTCTCCATTGCTAAGAAGCAGACAGCAGAACCCTGTTGTGAACAATCACATTGGAGGAAAAGGACCACCTGCACCTGTGACTCAAGCACAGCCAGATCTTGTTAAACCCCTTCCTCTTCATAAAGGTAGCACTTTGGGGGCTTTCAAATGTTACTTGCTATATTTGGATTCCTAAGGGAAGAGATTTTTGTAAAAGAAACAGAAAAAATTTGGTCAGTAAGGTCCGGTGGTATCTAGATAAGTTATTTGTTTATTCTAAATTGGCTTTTGTGTTTTTTTTTTTTTTTAATGAACAGTTGACTATTTCATATTTCATTCATGATACTGTATTAAGGGTCATGCTCTAGAATGACATTAGCAAATCTTAAGTATTAAAAATGGTTTTGGTAAGAGAGGTCCCTCCTGGCATTCTGGGTTTATATATACTTAGCCCCGTCCCCACATATAGCTAAGGTTGACTGATTGGGTGGGACGGGTGACTGACTCCCCGCTCAACTCCTTGATGAGCATGGGAAGGAGGTGTGACTATAGCTTGCTAGCATAGTGCTTGGAGGACACTTCTAGTTAATATTCCACCCCTTCCTCAGCTCTTTCTTTTCTGCCAACCTCTTCCGCAGAAGTCCCTGAGCCTTGGGGGGGGGGGTGGGAGGGGGGGGATGATCTTCCTCCTGTTGTGGCAAGACACTGAACTTTCTGGTCTGCATTGTCAGTTTTCCATGGGCTGTTGGCCCATTTCAGTGTGATTCCATTTACTATAAAAACACAAACAGCAAGAAGCAAGAACATCTAAACAGTGGCTGCTATAATAACTTAACGTATGGCTGTAAATACCAATGGTTGGATGGTACTTTAGCAGGGGCATCACATCCATCTAACAAAACAATTTCAGTGGCTTCCCATTGGGGCCTATAAGCTCCCCTGCCACAGGGTTTGGTCTAGTCTACAGTACCAGATGTGTGTTCCACCCCTAGGAGTGGGCATTGTATCCAATCAAAAATTTGCTGGTTGTACATACACTAGATGCTTCACTATTGCACCAGCAGGAACATCTTTTTTGGTATATTAATAGTGTAACATGTGGGGTCCGTCGTTGAGCAGAGTTATTGGGAGCAATTCTCCCCTAGTCATCTGAATATTGCCTTTCGGCTCCATGAAAGCCACCCATCCAGTGGCAGGGAGTTTCCAGCTTACTCCAAGCTTGATTTCTCCCTCTCCTGTGCTCACATCAAGCAGTATCTTCAGCAGTAGAGTCCCTCCATCCACTTCAGGTATATAACCAACACTATTGGCAATGGTCTTTATTGTTTTGGGGACTTCTAGGGCCCCTCAGGCCAACAGCTCATAGCGGGGCAACCCACCTCTGACACTGGGATTTTCATTTAACAACCAAATTGCTTCTGGAAGGACTTTCTTCTATTCTATCCCCGTAGGGTTCCTTCTGTGCCCGAGGCTTTTTTTTTTTTAAAACTGTGTATCTGGAGAATTTTTCCCCCCTTTATTCCTGTAGTTCTTTGTATAGCCCTCCTCCTTCCCCTCTGCTTTAACTATCCCCCTTTACATATTTCTCCCTTAGTAACACCTTTATCTTGCTATTCTTCTCTCTCAGGTTCCTTCTTTCTTTTTACCTCCATTTCCCTTCCATATTCTTGGTCCCTGCAATTGCATCAGTTTATGCACTCACTTATAAGGATTTGGTGCTAGGATCCACAAATGAGGGAGAACATACATCATTTATTTTTCTGAGTCTGTGTTACTTCACTTAGTATCTAGATCCATCCGTTTACCTGCAAATTTCATTATGTCATTTTTCTCTACTGCTGAGTAGAACGCCATTGTGTAAATTTACCACATTTTCATTAACCACTCATCAGTTTCTGCGGCTGTCAGGAAGTCACAGGATCTATATTTGAGGGTGGACTTTCCAGTGCAGCTGTAAATGAGTGGGGGTGCCCACTCTTCTGTAAATAAACCCCCATGCTATGCTCTGTTAAAAAAAGAAAAGAAGAGGCTGGCGAGATGGCTCAGCAGTTAAGAGCACTGACTGATCTTGCAGAGGACCCGGGTTCAATTCCCAGCACCCACATGGCAGCTACAAACCATCCTTAACTCCAGTTCCATGGGAATCCAAAGCCCTCTTCTGACCTCCGCAGCATTGCATGACACAACTCACATACATGCAGGCAATACACTCATACACATAAAAAAATAAAATAAAAATAAAGTGCAAAGTTAATTGTTAAAGAAAAAAAAAAGAAAATGATAGGTGTTTGGATGCATAGATGACAGGGATCTGACTAGACCACAAGTGGATGGACTTGGCACTGGGGATTGTCTGGGGACACTGACTTGACACAGTGGGCCTTTACACCCAGGACAGAGTATATGGGTTCCAGTGGGGGCTATGGGAGGGTGCTGGTAGGGACGGGGCTATAAAGATAATTCAGATTGTTTGAAATATTCTGTATGAAATACTACAAAATTTAATTTTAAAAAAATAGGTTTGGGAAGAAGCATCATTACTACCAGCAAAAACATGCTTTTCAGTTTGAGGAAAATTCAACTAATTATCAAATGCATATTATACTTTAGACAATACTAGGTATTGAGGTATAGCAATGCACAAGACAGTAGGGATCTCTGCTTTCATAATAGGCAAGGAAAGAAAATCATAATTTTTTTGATGATTAATACTCAAACATGACTAATATAATTATCTAATGACTAGGTAATTGAAAATGTGAGGAATGTTACAACAGCATATACTGTGAGAGCATTTGGCACAATGAAATGATTTATGGGATCACAGCACTTTACCTGAAGACGTTATGTTGAAGGATGAATGGGAATTAAGTAAAGCTGTACATTTGTCTTTGCTAGAACAGTAGCCTAAGGAGAGTAAATAGAACAATATAAAGAGAAATGTATTAAGGAACCTGAAAGAATTCCATTATAGTAGTGATGTCAAAAACACCAAGAACTAAAAGGTAGTCAGAAGCTACCTTATGGGTGGCCTTGGAACTTATTGTAAAGATTCTTCCAGGAGCCTCTAGGACTCTTATTTCCACATGGTCATGTGCCTCCTTCCTGGTTTTTACAATCTTTCTGTCCCCATTTCCACAATAGTCCCTGAACCCCGGGTGGGTGGATTTTAGTATAGGAGTCCTGTCCAAGGACCCGTACTCTGTAGACTCTTATTCTCTACATTTGGGCCATTTATGATTTTTTTGTGTTCCGGACCTTCTGTTGCATGAGGGAGCTTCATTGATGAGAATTGGAAGATGCATTAGTGTTCTCTTCATCCCTTGTTCTTTGGTCCGTGAGCCTTAAGTGTAGAGGTTGCATCCTAGCTGTGCTACTTAGGCTTGGGCTTTAAGGCCAATTAGGTAGCTGTTGATTGACCCCAGATAAAAGTGCCACTATTGCATCACTGTTTGCTGAGCTGGTCATTGTTGTGGTTATTAGGCCTTGAAGCTGGGACTGGACCATTGATTGATGTTCTGCCTTACAAGCTTACATAGTGCATTCCAAAGCTATGAGAGCTAGCTTTCAGGAGGGTGGCTTCCAGGTCAGTTCCAGCTCCATTGTTCCAAATCCTGTGTGTCTGAAATTTGTCCTGTCTTCAGCAATAGGGTCTTACCTTCAAGTTCTGGGAAGCAATCAAGGTCTGTGGCAATAGCCTGTGTAATTTTGGGAGTTTCTTGGACTACCCTGTCCAAAAACTGGAAGGTTTCTCTGTTTCTTGTTTTGTAGCCTTCAGCTATACACATGGACTCATGTAAAGATATTGTATGTGTAATTTTTTTAATTTAATAACCACATGATTAGAAGAAGCATTTCATTACAGCTTTAACATATTCAGTAACACATTCCAAAGCAAGGATACATCTCTTTCAAAAGTGGCTGTAAATTTTTAGGTTCACAGTTGAATTAATACAATTATACAATATTGAACTCAGTATAAACACTGTAAGACATAAAATTGAGTTTTTACCCTTTAAAGAAGATCTCCATTTCATTTTAAAATATGCTGCTTCCTACATTTTTAATGCTACTAACAGATGTCTTTAATCTCTGTGTATCTGATTATCACTAGTCACAGTAGGTTATACTTGGATCCTTAATACCTGAGTATGGATATAAAGTCATCAGGTAGATTTCACTGGTAATGTTTATCACCTCTACTATTTAACACATTTTTATGCTTCCTCCTCAAATATGTCTTTTTTAAAAATTTGTTGATTTTTGTGTGTGTGTGTGTGTGTGTGTGTGTGTGTGTGTGTGTATGTGTGAGATACAGAACATCCCACACAATCTTATTAATCTATATATCCACTTCCTAAATGGCACCCTCCCATAGCCTCCCTCCTCCCCCACACTGGAGCCCATATACTCTGTCATCCCTTTTACTGTCCATTGTGTTGTCGGTGCCCCCAGCCCTTCCCCAGTGCTTGTCTGTCTGCTGAATCTAGTCAGCCTATCTAGAGATCCTTGTTTTAGGAAGATCAGCTGTTCCTCATCTAGCAGCAATCAGTTGTCAATATTCCTTTAGATAAGATTGGGGTCTGCTGTTTGTTTTCCCAGTTCTGTGCTGGGTTACTGTCTGGGAGTCTTTTGGGCCACCCTGGCCAATAACTCAAAGGAAGGTATCTCCTGTTTGGCATTGTTTCTTGTTATGTAGCCTTTAGCTTTACATATGGACTGTTAAAAAATTATATTGACCCCATTAATCTTTGGTTATATTTTCCTCTTGGGTATTTAAGACCCTACAATTGGCCTAGATAAACCAATTTATTTTTACTCTTACGGTTGTTTGAGAATCTGTTCCTCAGGGGTAACATGGGCTTGGGAGGAGCCCTCGCTCCTTCTTTTACCAGTTCCATCTATGTGAAGATAAGTCAAAGGTCCTGCCCAATCATAGCTGGCTTTGCTTGGAAGCATGGAGGAAATGTTTCCTCTGTGTTGACCCTCCTCTTTGTAGACTGAACACTGGTTCAGGTTCATCTGGTGGGGTCTCCACGGCCTCCTTGCTCAAGAGGACAGCTGACTCACTACAGTTACAGGACATTTTGAGAGATGCTTATAGTCCCCTGGAACTTAGCCAATCTAGGAGGGAAAGGAGCAAAAA